ATTTGTTTTGTATGTGTTTGTTTTACGTATGTGTTTGTTTGTGTATGTATTTGTTTGTGTATGTGTTTGTTTGTGTATGTGTGTTTGTTTGTTTGTGTATCTGTTTCTTTGTTTGTGTATGTGTTTGTTCGTTTGTGTATGTATTTGTTTTTGTATGTGTTTGTTTATGTATGTGTTTGTTTGTGTATGTATTTGTTTATGTATGTGTTTGTTTGTGTATGTGTTTGTTTGTTTGTGTATGTGTTTGTTTATGTATGTGTTTGTTTGTGTATGTATTTGTTTATGTATGTCTTTGTTTGTGTATGTTAGCTTGGCTGATAGTGTGTGTCTGGTGTGCTCAGGTCCCTGATAACATGGCTGATAGTGTGTCACAGGTCCCTGGTAGCATGGCTGATAGTATGTCTCCAGTCCCTGGTAGCATGGCTGATAGTGTGTCACTGGTCCCTGGTAGCATGGCTGATAGTGTGTCACTGGTCCCTGGTAGCATGGCTGATAGTGTGTCACAGGTCCCTGGTAGCATGGCTGATAGTGTGTCACTGGTCCCTGGTAGCATGGCTGATAGTGTGTCACAGGTCCCTGTAGCATGGCTGATAGTGTGTCACAGGTCCCTGGTAGCATGGCTGATAGTGTGTAACAGGTCCCTGGTAGCATGGCTGATGGTGTGTATCTGGTCCCTGTTGCATGGCTGATGGTGTGTCACTGGTCCCTGTGGCATGGCTGATAGTGCGTCACAGGTCTCTGGTTGCATGGCTGACGTCACAAGCCTTTGGGTACTTGCCTTGAGAGTCATCTACTAGTACCTGGCTGTGCTGTTGACAATGTGTTACCAGCATGTTTGCTTCCTGTATGTAACACACACATCATAGACCCAAGTATATAACACATACACTATAGACCCAAGTATATAAGACATACACTATAGACCCAAGTATATAACACATACACTATAGACCCAAGTATATAACACATACACCATAGACCCAAGTATATAACACATACATCATAGACCAAAGTATATAACACATACATCATAGACCCAAGTATATAACACATACACCATAGACCCAAGTATATAACACATACACCATAGACCCAAGTATATAACACATAAATCATAGACCCAAGTATATAACACACACATCATAGACCCTAGTATATAACACATACACCATAGACCCAAGTATATAACACATAAATCATAGACCCAAGTATATAACACATACACCATAGACCCAAGTATATAACACATACACCATAGACCCAAGTATATAACACATAAATCATAGACCCAAGTATATAACACATACATCATAGACCCAAGTATATAACACATACACCATAGACTCCAAGTATTTAACACATACATCATAGACCCAAGTATAACACATGCATCATACACCGAAGTATATCACATAGATTACAGACCCAAGTGCATAACACACACATCACAGACCAGCGTACCTAACAGATACACCTCCGACAAACGCATATAACACATATACCATTGACCCTTATATATCGCATTTATACCATTGACCCTTATGTATCGCATTTATACCATTGAACCGTTAACCCGTGTATATAACACATACACCATTGACCCGTGTATATAACACATACACCGTTGACCCGTGTATATAAAACATACACCGTTGACCCGTGTATATAACACATACACCGTTGACCCAAGTATATATAACACATACACCACTGACCCGTGTATGTATAACACATACACCGTTGACCCGTGTATATAACACATACACCGTTGACCCGTGTATATAACACATACACCGTTGACCCGTGTATATAACACATACACCATTGACCCGTGTATATAACACATACACCATTGACCCGTGTATATAACACATACACCGTTGACCCGTGTATATATAGCTTACATACACCGTTGACTTATATATAACACATACACCATTGACACGTGTATATAAAATACATACACAGTTGACCCGTGTATATAACACATACACCATTGACCCGTGTGTATAACACATACACCGTTGACCCGTGTATATAACACATACACCATTGACCCGTGTATATAACACATACACCGTTGACCCGTGTATATATATAACATACACCGTTGACCCGTGTATATAACACATACACCATTGACCCGTGTATATAACACATACACCGTTGACCCGTGTATACACCATTGACCCTATATATAGCACTCATACCATTGACACGTGTATATAACACATACACCGTTGACCCGTGTATATAACACATACACTGTTGACCCGTGTATATAACACATACACCGTTGACCCGTGTATATAACACATACACCGTTGACCCGTGTATATAACACATACACCGTTGACCCTTATATATAACACATACACCATTGACACGTGTATATAATACATACACAGTTGACCCGTGTATATAACACATACACCATTGACCCGTGTATATAACACATACACCGTTGACCCGTGTATATAACACATACACCATTGACCCGTGTATATAACACATACACCGTTGACCCGTGTATATAACACATACACCGTTGACCCGTGTATATAACACATACACCATTGACCCGTGTATATAACACATACACCGTTGACCCGTGTATATAAAACATACACCGTTGACCCTTACATAAAGCACTTATACCATTGACGCGTGTATATAACACATACACCGTTGACCCGTGTATATAACACATACACCATTGACCCGTGTATATAACACATACACCGTTGACCCGTGTATATAACACATACACCGTTGACCCGTGTATATAACACATACACCATTGACCCGTGTATATAACACATACACCGTTGACCCGTGTATATAACACATACACCGTTGACCCGTGTATATAACACATACACCATTGACCCGTGTATATAACACATACACCGTTGACCCGTGTATATAACACATACACCGTTGACCCGTGTATATAACACATACACTGTTGACCCGTGTATATAACACATACACCGTTGACCCGTGTATATAACACATACACCATTGACCCGTGCATATAACACATACACCGTTGACCCGTGTATATAACACATACACCGTTGACCCGTGTATATAACACATACACCGTTGACCCGTGTATATAACACATACACCATTGACCCGTGTATATAACACATACACCATTGACCCTTATATATACCACTTATACCATTGATCCCTACATATACCACTTATACACCATTGATCCGTGTATATAACACATACACCATTGACCATATATATACCACTTATACCATTGATCCTTACATATACCACTTACACCATTGATCCGTGTATATAACACATACACCATTGACCCTTATATATACCATTATACCATTGATCCTTACATATAGCACTTACACCATTGACCCGTGTATATAACACATACACCGTTGACCCGTGTATATAACACATACACCGTTGACCCGTGTATATAACACATACACCGTTGACCCGTGTATATAACACATACACCATTGACCCTTATATATACCACTTATACCATTGATCCCTACATATACCACTTACAGCATTGACCCGTGTATATAACACATACACCATTGACCCATATATATACCACTATACCATTGATCCTTACATATACCACATACACCATTGACCCGTGTATATAACACATACACCATTGACCCTTATATATACCACTTATACCATTGATCCCTACATATACCACTTACAGCATTGACCCGTGTATATAACACATACACCATTGAGGTAGGGGTTGGATCCTGGGACTATACGCTGCAGACATTTTGCATGCAGCTTACTGCTCGGCCAGGTCACTCTGTCACTTGATTATTATGTGCACCCATTTTTCAAAACTGGATCAGCTACTGCTGGGCCTAGTTAGGACAGGTGGGCATGCTGAGATGGGGCTGGTCACAGTAGTTCTCCGTGTTGAATTTGATGATCCGAAACACTCGAAATATGAAATTCACTGTGTGTCATGACTACAGACAGATAAACCAAAAGGACGGACTTTCCCCGTGAAAGGCTAGCTCGGTTCCACTCATCGCTAGTCGGATCGACTGAGGGATACTGTGAAATACCGTGACCGATAAAATCCGGTTCGGGGCGTCGACAACAACATCATATTGCTTTATTAGTATGCCGACAAACCCCAGTGTTAAGAAACTAATATATGTCCTTGAATCTGATGACTAATGACAGAATGCCAACTAATGTAAGCCGTATATTGATCACATGGTAACATCTGTGCGGCCCATGTTTGTGTGTGAACATCACGCAGCTTGTTGGCATTTCAAGAATGTTGAGTCTACAACGCGTCACTGTCACTCGCATGTTCTGAAATATCAGGTAACGATGACACCGCCATGTCGACACCCTGACTCCCCCGACGCAGGCGTCTCCCATCTGGCTGGCCACGTTCCTCTGCTAAACGCCTGTGCAGCCACACACCAACATAACACATCATTCCATGGATGTCTGGCATGACTCCAGTCATCTCTGCTAAAATGACTACGATGTATGCATCTATACGAACTGCTGGGGTTAAAACTTAATAGTACCCAAATCATTCTGGTACATGCTGACAAAATCCCGGTATTTGTTTTAATCCGGTGGTTGTACAACCTTCAGTCGGTCTTCAGCTACAGTTATCTGATCTTAAAGAAGCAACCTATAAATTTAGATGTCATGTGTATATATTTACCTCACCATACACATCTCGATGTGAATACATTACTACACGACAGATGAAGTACCCCGACACTCACACAAAATAGGTGTTATTAAAAACTTGTAAATAGGTTTTCATAAACATGTGCATACACGCAATTTCCAGTTCTTTTTCACCTCAACCACCAATGTTTCTAGAATGAGAAAATGCGGCCTCTTTTCATGGTCGATGTGATTGCTCGGGTAATACATAACCAGTCGTAGCGAGGCCGGACAGCCAATGAGAGAGCAGTGGTGTATTTCCACCTGTGGGGCACGTGACACGTGGTTTGTGCAGGTAATAAAGGTACTTGTACATCCTCATTGCTGGGAGCGTCTACCGGTGCGATTACAACATCACCGTCACATCTACAGGAGAGAGGCACTTTGTACCTTATTACTAAGACAGACTTGTAATATTTCAGCACGATGGTGAAGTTGATTGTTGTCGTGTTGGTATTGTTTGTGGGCGCCTGTACTGCAGCCACATCCTACAAAGTAAACACCAATATGACTTACGTGGAGTTTATGACCAAATCGCTAATGGCGTCCAAACAGGCGGACATTTCCAAGGACAAGAACAAACTGACTGTAATGTTCGAGGATCTTCAACAGGTCAACGCGAATGGTTCTACAATTGCTAATCCAACCAACAGTTTTGCTGAAGCAATGTTCACGTTTGAAAATGCGACGGACGAATCAACAGCCCCGACTTCCAGGAGACTGGTAGGCACTGCCAACGTCTTTGGGGGAACTCTCAAGGTGTCCATTGACGTGTTTACCCAGGAAGGCAATGTCCCTGTGGACGGTGAAAACACGACAACAGTGATGAGCGGAGACGTGAGAGTGATGGTAGAGATCAAGGGCCTTACATTCGGCGACAATGCTGACAAACTGAAGCTGATGCTGAACATAAAGGGATCTGAATCTCCGGAAAAGTCGACACCTGAGGGGACAAACGTGGTCGCCTACACCCTCGGAGACGGAGGCGTTGTCAAACTCTCCAAGAAGGTAAGTGATACTGAAATCATGACTGCGTTTAACCAAATGTCATGGATTCTTGAAACGGTTGCTGTTGCGCCGATATTTGTGTGAGTGAGTGAGTGTTGATTAATGGTATTGCATGTACATTTATTGGTGGTTGACGTTGTTGCATGTGTATTTATTGTTGGTTGATGGTGTTGCATGTGCATTTATTGTTGGTTGATGGTGTTGCCTGTGCATTTATTGTTGGTTGATGGTGTTACCTGTGCTTTTATTGTTGGTTGATGGTGTTGCCTGTGCATTTATTGTTGGTTGATGGTGTTGCCTGTGCTTTTGTTGGTGGTTGATGGTGTTGCCTGTGCTTTTGTTGGTGGTTGATGGTGTTACCTGTGCTTTTGTTGTTGGTTGATGGTGTTGCCTGTGCTTTTGTTGGTGGTTGATGGTGTTGCCTGTGCTTTTGTTGTTGGTTGATGGTGTTGCCTGTGCTTTTTGTTGGTGGTTGATGGTGTTGCCTGTGCTTTGTTGTTGGTTGATGGTGTTGCCTGTGCTTTTATTGGTGGTTGATGGTGTTGCCTGTGCATTTATTGTTGGTTGATGGTGTTACCTGTGCATTTATTGTTGGTTGATGGTGTTACCTGTGCTTTTATTGGTGGTTGATGATGTTGCCCGTGCTTTTGTTGGTGGTTGATGGTGTTGCCTGTGCTTTTGTTGGTGGTTGATGGTGTTGCCTGTGCTTTTGTTGGTGGTTGATGGTGTTGCCTGTGCTTTTGTTGTTGGTTGATGGTGTTGCCTGTGCTTTTGTTGTTGGTTGATGGTGTTGCCTGTGCATTTATTGTTGGTTGATGGTGTTGCCTGTGCTTTTGTTGGTGGTTGATGGTGTTGCCTGTGCATTTATTGTTGGTGGTTGATGGTGTTACCTGTGCATTTATTGTTGGTTGATGATGTTGCCCGTGCTTTTGTTGGTGGTTTATGGTGTTGCCTGTGCTTTGTTGGTGGTTGATGATGTTGCCCGTGCTTTTGTTGGTGGTTGATGATGTTGCCCGTGCTTTTGTTGGTGGTTGATGGTGTTGCCTGTGCTTTGTTGGTGGTTGATGGTGTTGCCTGTGCATTTATTGTTGGTGGTTGATGGTGTTACCTGTGCATTTATTGTTGGTTGATGATGTTGCCCGTGCTTTTGTTGGTGGTTTATGGTGTTGCCTGTGCTCTTGTTGGTGGTTGATGGTGTTGCCTGTGCATTTATTGTTGGTTGATGGTGTTACCTGTGCATTTATTGTTGGTTGATGGTGTTGCCTGTGCTTTTGTTGGTGGTTGATGGTGTTGCCTGTGCTTTTGTTGGTGGTTGATGGTGTTGCCTGTGCTTTGTTGGTGGTTGATGGTGTTGCCTGTGCTTTTATTGGTGGTTGATGGTGTTGCCTGTGCATTTATTGTTGGTTGATGATGTTGCCCGTGCTTTTGTTGTTGGTTTATGGTGTTGCCTGTGCTTTTTGTTGGTGGTTGATGGTGTTGCCTGTGCTTTTTGTTGGTGGTTGATGGTGTTGCCTGTGCTTTTATTGGTGGTTGATGATGTTGCCCGTGCTTTTGTTGGTGGTTGATGGTGTTGCCTGTGCTTTTGTTGTTGGTTGATGGTGTTGCCTGTGCATTTATTGTTGGTGGTTGATGGTGTTGCCTGTGCTTTTGTTGGTGGTTGATGGTGTTACCCGTGCTTTGTTGGTGGTTGATGGTGTTTGCCTCTGCTTTTATTGGTGGTTGATGGTGTTGCCTGTGCATTTATTGTTGGTTGATGATGTTGCCCGTGCTTTTGTTGGTGGTTGATGGTGTTGCCTGTGCTTTTGTTGTTGGTTGATGGTGTTGCATGTGCATTTATTGTTGGTTGATGGTGTTACCTGTGCATTTATTGTTGGTTGATGATGTTGCCCGTGCTTTTGTTGGTGGTTGATGGTGTTGCCTGTGCTTTTGTTGGTGGTTGATGGTGTTGCCTGTGCTTTTGTTGGTGGTTGATGGTGTTGCCTGTGCTTTTATTGGTGGTTGATGGTGTTGCCTGTGCTTTTATTGGTGGTTGATGGTGTTGCCTGTGCTTTTATTGGTGGTTGATGGTGTTGCCTGTGCTTTTATTGTTGGTGGTTGATGGTGTTGCCTGTGCTTTTATTGGTGGTTGATGGTGTTACCTGTGCTTTTATTGGTGGTTGATGGTGTTGCCTGTGCTTTTATTGGTGGTTGATGGTGTTGCCTGTGCTTTTATTGGTGGTTGATGATGTTGCCCGTGCTTTTATTGGTGGTTGATGGTGTTGCCTGTGCTTTTGTTGGTGGTTGATGGTGTTACCTGTGCATTCATTGTTGGTTGACGGTGTTGTATGTGCTTTTAATGTTGGTTGATGTTGCCCGTGCTTTTATTTTTGGTTGACGGTGTTGTATCTGCTTTTGCTGTTGGTTGGTTGCATTATTCGATTGTTGAGGTTTGTTCAAGATGACAACAATATATTAAGGCTTTCAGAGAAGTATATGCATGTGTCGACAGACAGACAGACAGACAAACAGACAGACAGATGTGACGATTGACATATTCTCCTTTCATCTTCTAAACCTCGTACAGAACTTAAGGTAACCTGAACGGAGGTCTCGTCTACTGAACACAAAGAGTTGTTTTATATAATAATAGAGCAACAGTTATCTGGTACAGGAAGAATATACGAAATATGCATTTTCCAAATTGTCGGTATTTTTAACCAAATCTTCAGCAATTGCCTGTTGCTATTATTGTAAACACATTGATTTTCTGTATTACCATGGTAACGGACATGTGTCATTGTGACCTCTTGCTTGCTTTACACCACACGGCTGGCTGTCTCACAGGTAGCATTATATGGCAGTGTTATCATGCATAACTCTCTCACACCTGGGGCGATCAGAAAACAACTCACCTGGAGTTACGTCATGTGAGCGGCGATTTGCTGAAGAAATAGAATTATAGATTGAAACAGGAAATGATCTGTCACAATTGTGTTTCTGATATTTCTTTCTATATTTCGAAGTTTATAGGTTTCTTTGTATATTCATGTCAGAGCAAACAATGCAAATGAAAAAATGCTGAGAACTTGTTCACCTTTGAGAGCTCCAATAAGTAATGGGTCTACCCTGCAGCGTCTCTTTCACGAACTCCCTCCTTTTTCATCAAAATAGATTTTAGGGGTCGGAAGTGTAAATATAGTTATATTAATCACTCCGTAGATTCCCCTTCCCATTCGCTCCTTTAACCCATAACCCGACCCTTATGCGCTGCGACTGATGTGCAAGCTACATAGTCCAGTGGAGTCACCTCAAAGTCCTGGTTTGATTCCACAATGGGAACAACATGTGAATCTGATTCCTCCTCGGTTGTGATGTGCTCAAGTAGAACTATACCTAACGAAATAACTAAATATGGATGCAGTAGTGGGATATTTGTCGTTCTCTGATGAATAAATGAAAGAAGCGCTTTGAGCATGCATGCGGGGCGGACTATAGCACTGTATAAATACCCATATAACAAAAATAATGATAATAATAAATGAAATAATATATCCCCACTTCTTTACTGCCGCCACATGTGCAGCTTTTGATCACCACGTATACAATGCGTAACTGATAGCAATTTCCTCTCGTTTAATCTGGAGTGAATGTTGATTATGTGAATATATTGTTATTTCAAACCGGATTGTATTAAGCATGGTCCATTGACTATGAAGTTATATCGATATTCTGGGACTCCCATCACAATGACTCAGCGCTGGATAGACAGTGAGCGCTGCTTCCTTGTTGAACACTGGTTGCCATGGTAAATAATGCAGGCCCCGCGCGAGAAACCTAAATAAAATACACATTCCTTTATGATCCTTGCAATCCAGATATTTATTTTATTTCCAATAGATTTTAGCCCGCGGTACCGACTATCGGAACGGAACCTAAAATATATCCTAAAAAAAGGATGTTACCAATTGATAAATGTAATCTCGCAGTTTTATAATGTTGGGTTAGACGTGCTAGCATAATAGATTCGTCTCCTTTGTTTTAGAAAAATGTTAATAAAAAGGCATACTAATGGGAAAATAAGTTTGTTTTGGCCACAACACCACTAGAAAATGTTATACATTACTAATGGGAAAATAAGAAATGGCCACAACACCACCATGCGTTGACCTGGTTGTAATGCACAGATAAGAATCGCTAATTGCTATGGTGACCTGGTTGTACCACTATCGCAGTGTGTGACAACCGAGCAATCCAAAGTTGTAATACACAGTTAAATGGCCACAAACACCACTACACGTTGACCTGGTTTGTAACACACAGTTAAATGGCCATGTAACACCACTACACGTCAAAGTGACCTGGTTTGTAATACACGACTTGTAAATGTACATAGCTGTACAGGATAGGTCACAACACCACTACACGTTGACCTTTCTCGGTTGTAACAAAACCACATGACGTTCATCATATGAATATATCACGTACGCCTACATACAGTGGTAATTATAACCTCAAACAGAGAAATCACTCTTATATTGCCATATTGTTGGAGTGCATTTTCACTGCAGCAGTGGAGTTCCCTTTCAGCCTTTACACGTCACTTGCGTGTATGGCCATAACACCACTACACGTTGACCTGGTTGTAACACACAGTTAAATGGCCATAACACACGTATAACGACTACACGTTGACCTGGTTGTAATCCACTCAGTCAAATGGCATCAACGACCACTACGTTGTACTCTTGTGGATACTGGTGTTTTGACGTATAACGACAGCCCCTCTTGTGTTGTACTCTTGTCAGATACTGGTGTCTTGACGTATAACGACGGACCCTCTAGTGTTGTACTCTTGTCAGATACTGGTGTCTTGACGTATAACGACGGACCCTCTAGTGTTGTACTCTTGTCAGATACTGGTGTCTTGACGTATAACGACGGCCCCTCTAGTGTTGTACTCTTGTCAGATACTGGTGTCTTGACGTATAACGACGGCCCCTCTAGTGTTGTACTCTTGTCAGATACTGGTGTCTTGACGTATAACGACGGACCCTCTAGTGTTGTACTCTTGTCAGATACTGGTGCCTTGACGTATAACGACGGACCCCTCTAGTGTTGTACTCTTGTCAGATACTGGTGTCTTGACGTATAACGACAGCCCTCTAGTGTTGTACTCTTGTCAGATACTGGTGTCTTGACGTATAACGACGGCCCCTCTAGTGTTGTACTCTTGTCAGATACTGGTGTCTTGACGTATAACGACGGACCCTCTTGTGTTGTACTCTTGTCAGATACTGGTGTTTTGACGTATAACGACGGACCCTCTAGTGTTGTAGTCTTGTCAGCTACTGGGGTCTTGACGTATAACGACGGCCCCTCTAGTGTTGTACTCTTGTCAGATACTGGTGTCTTGACGTTTAACGACGGACCCTCTAGTGTTGTAGTCTTGTCAGATACTGGTACCTTGACGTATAACGACGGACCCTCTTGTGTTGTACTCTTGTCAGATACTGGTGTCTTGACGTATAACGACGGCCCCTCTAGTGTTGTACTCTTGTCAGATACTGGTGTCTTGACGTATAACGACGGACCCTCTAGTGTTGTAGTCTTGTCAGATACTGGTGTCTTGACGTATAACGACGGCCCCTCTTGTGTTGTACTCTTGTCAGATACTGGTATCTTGATAAATACCGACCCTTTTGTACTGAAAGTGCATCATTTGTTTCAAAAGCGGTTATGTTTCGCGCCCAATTTATAATCAGTTAAGCAAAAGGGTTATCACTGATGTGATTTGTAAAATAATAGTTCTTGATTCTGTATTCTTATAACAGTAACACGTTAAGCCTCAGCCTGACTAAAGCTTCCGTCCTCCAATACAGCTTCTTTTAAAGATATATTTGTGTAAATTTAATAGATGTTTTGAATTTTAAAAAGATAGGTTTGTCATGATTTTTTAATATTTTATTACCTAAGAAATGGACCCGATGAAAGCATTCCAAATGTCTGGACGTCATAGACGTTTATTTCTCGTAATCAATTAACATTTCACTCACTGCGTTATGCTTATTTCACAAACAGTAAGTACTTGGCACCGTATGTCTAGATTCTACATCTATGTTGTTACAGGTAATGAAGGGCACCGCTTATGAGCCTGTGACTCCAATGATGTCTGGTAACGCGTTCAACTTCAGCCTCCCTAAAGATCCCTCCGTCACATACAACTTCTTCCTCCAGCCGGCTAAAGCCGAGAATGTTGATGATGGCCCCAATGCTGCTGCTACAGTCGCCCCGCTCCTGATCACGTGGGTAGTGGCCATCGCATGTAAACTTCTGTTTTAAATATAATACAGTCATTGTCAGACTCTCCGCCCATCTGTCCCGTGCCTTACTTGGATTGGGCGTTACTAAAACCCGTTGAAATATAAGCTTTATATACAGTATGTTGGACAAGGGTTTACGTCCCCTCCCATATGCCCTGGGTATTCTCGAATACGTTTATATGCAATGGTAACCCCATGGTTTTTGACACACTCTAAAAGGCCAGATTACATGTAATAGTATACAAGTAGTGACCTGCACCTGTATTTAATGTAAGATGTTTGGAAATGATGTATATATTTCACGTCCTTTGGCCGTTTAATACCACCCTCGGCACTGCAGGGACTTGTATCAGTTCGTCTATCTTCAGCTGTGTGTTTGAGTATATCTGCTCCTATGACGGCCAATGACTCGAGGAGTCAGACACTATGACAATAACAGCCTGGCTGGAATCCTGTAAATGTAGCTCTTTAAGGGACGCATATACCTTATCTTATGAGCGGGAACGTGACGTTTTCAATGTGGCTATTGTTTAACCTCGTCATACATAGATGACACCATGTAATTCGCAAAACCTTTGTTCGGAGAATTGGGAACTAAACATAACTCTTTGAATACAGAGGTTCTGCTATAGACAGCAGACCTGTCTGTGGTTTCTGTAAAGACAAAATCCATTTTGGTTTACCGTTAGTTCTCACTAACTGACTTCCTGATTTATCGATGGCACAGCTGGGGAAAAGCAGCCTAAACAAGACAATTTAAAACATAAATCTTACCGAGAACATTTCCTGTTGTGGTGTCTTTGAGGTTAAATAAACGTTATGTTGTGTTGTGAAGCTACTATGTCGTGACTATCTATGCTTGTTGATTAATATAATTTACATGATAAGAATTCATTAATTATTGTTAACTTTCACCATGTTTTGTTGCATTATACACTTTTTTCTTTTGACCTTTCTACACCAATAAACATTGTATATACACATAAGCCATTGTTTGTTATACATAACTGTACTAAATAGTGTCATACTCCATAAAAGATCGCTCGTGTGTTTCCGTAACAAATGCACTCGCTGATCTAAATATACGACCTGGAACAATCATACTGAGCAGAGAGATGCTGTATCGTGCGTCCAAGCGGCGTCAGCTGTTTCCACTCACTACAACCAGGACGATCGATAAGACCGCTGTAGAAATCTTGTTTATGCCTGCGTCAGATAGAATTCTGTCCAACATACTAATCTACCAAATGTTAAGTTATTGATTTTAAATCTCTCGCTGTGCATGCATCACCATATGAATTAGTCAATTGTCAGTCGAAGGCAGCCAATGCTCAGTACAATGACTAATCCGTATATCGAAACAGTCCACGTATTTAATACGCAACTGTGGCGGTGTTCATGATAGCGATGATACCGCTAGTTTGTTTTATTGGTCATAATGTCGCTGATCATATGAGTGAGTGAGTATGGTTTAACGCCGCTTTTAGCAATATTCCAGCAATATTACGGAAGGGGACATCAGAAATGGGCTTCACACGTTGTACGCATGTGGGGAATCGAACTCGGGTCTTGGGGGTGACGAGCGAACGCTTTAACCACTAGGCTATCCCACCGCCCCCGGATCATAGAAAACAGTATATTACATTGCAGATGTAGGTGTGCTAACAGGTGTACAAGTCTTATACTGAACCACGCCGACAGGAACTTCTTTGTCCCCTTCCAATTCGCGGACGTTGTGGTTGACTTGGTCGGCTTGTCATTGAATAGGTCACTATATTTCTAAATATGTTTTACGCATAAAACAGTCAAAAGTCCTTGAAATACTCTTACGAGAACTGCTTCGGATCAATTATAGCACACCTATTTACAATGCTTGTGAGACTTTTGAAAGCACAAACATGACAGATTTACGTGAGTGTATGCGGGGCGTCAGTGAATGTGGTTTAACGCTTCTAGGTTTAAACATATTATTTCCGTAACTTGTACACGGACTGGATTGGTAAACAAGTCTCCGAAATATATAACTACCGCTCCAGTAATACATAGATTACAAATAAATCATAGTACAGTCGTATAATTGATGATACCAGTGAATACCAAGGAGGTGTTCAAACACCGGATTGTCCTTGGAATAACATATTGAAGAAATTAAGAAAGCGTATCCTGTGGTACATTGTTTTATATATCTCGCTTCCTGTGTCAGCTGAGTCGACCAGATATCTCGCCGGCTGGGGCAGCTGAGTCGATCAGATATCTCGCCGGCTGGGGCAGCTGAGTCGACCAGATATCTCGCCGGCTGGGGCAGCTGAGTCGACCAGATATCTCGCCGGCTGGGGCAGCTGAGTCGACCAGATATCTCGCCGGCTGGGGCAGCTGAGTCGATCAGATATCTCGCCGGCTGGGGCAGCTGAGTCGACCAGATATCTCGCCGGCTGGGGCAGCTGAGTCGACCAGATATCTCGCCGGCTGGGGCAGCTGAGTCGATCAGATATCTCGCCGGCTGGGGCAGCTATATCTAGAGCACGGAGTATTAGTCTGGTAGGATGGGTACAGCAAGTCCCGTGGAAGTTTTGTTATGAAAGCAAGACATAGTGTTTCTTGTATCCATCAGACATGCTACCTAAATAAAAGTTTGGTTCCAAGTTGAAATATGGTGCAAATATAACTTTGAGCACTGTACAAAATGGTTGTGGAAAAGGTTGATAAAAGGTCAGAAGGTCATAATGGGAGAGTTGAATATTTAAAGTTTGGGGTTATTAACTTTATCCAAGTGTGTTTCTCTATTTCATGAAATATTTTATTAAAAGAAAACCCCAAAATATATTTTTTTAAATTAAAAAATAAAAATAAAGAACGCTCCCTCTCTCAAAATGGCAGCTAGCAGACGAATTTAAGCAGATGTAGGTTTTGTGCATTTTGTAAGTATATGATTGCTCAGTTTATCAAATCAATGTAAATCAAGTTATCAATATAAGTGAAAGAACAGTTATGTATGACACTAAAAAGAGATGTTTATTTCTGTTTGGTGAGACTGTCAGTGAAGGAGCAGTCCTTATTTCAAAATGTAGTTGGTCAATATCAGATTGTGATTTATCAATTTCTTATTAATATGTTTAAAATTTGTCTTCTAAAAGCAGAGTTCTTTGAAAATAGATAAGAATATAATGAAATGATGGATAGAACACTCTATTTTCTGCTTCACACTCTCTCAATTAAATCCTTTGAAATAATTTTCAAGTCATCGGATCGGATCATTCTGAAATGGTTTTATAATCTTTGAAAAAAAATATATACAAATAAACGTGGGTAGAATTTTTTTTATCAGCAGCCTAGGAGAAGGCACGGTGTCCATATTTAGCTTGTTTGACTTAGTCGATCAGATATCCTCGCCGGCTGGGGAGCTGAGTCGATCAGATATCTCGCCGGCTGGGGAGCTGGAGTCGACCAGATATCTCGCTTCCTGGGGCAGCTGAGTCGATCAGATATCTCGCCGGCTGGGGGCAGCTGAGTCGATCAGATATCTCGCCGGCTGGGGGAGCTGAGTCGATCAGATATCTCGCCGGCTGGGGGAGCTGAGTCGATCAGATATCTCGCCGGCTGGGGCAGCTGAGTCGACCAGATATCTCGCCGGCTGGGGAGCTGAGTCGATCAGATATCTCGCCGGCTGGGGAGCTGAGTCGACCAGATATCTCGCCGGCTGGGGCAGCTGAGTCGACCAGATATCTCGCCGGCTGGGGAGCTGAGTCGATCAGATATCTCGCCGGCTGGGGCAGCTGAGTCGACCAGATATCTCGCCGGCTGGGGAGCTGAGTCGATCAGATATCTCGCCGGCTGGGGGAGCTGAGTCGATCAGATATCTCGCCGGCTGGGGCAGCTGAGTCGATCAGATATCTCGCCGGCTGGGGCAGCTGAGTCGATCAGATATCTCGCCGGCTGGGGCAGCTGAGTCGACCAGATATCTCGCCGGCTGGGGCAGCTGAGTCGATCAGATATCTCGCCGGCTGGGGGAGCTGAGTCGATCAGATATCTCGCCGGCTGGGGGAGCTGAGTCGACCAGATATCTCGCTTCCTGGGGCAGCTGAGTCGATCAGATATCTCGCCGGCTGGGGAGCTGAGTCGATCAGATATCTCGCCGGCTGGGGAGCTGAGTCGATCAGATATCTCGCCGGCTGGGGAGCTGAGTCGATCAGATATCTCGCCGGCTGGGGGCAGCTGAGTCGACCAGATATCTCGCCGGCTGGGGAGCTGAGTCGATCAGATATCTCGCCGGCTGGGGAGCTGAGTCGACCAGATATCTCGCCGGCTGGGGCAGCTGAGTCGACCGGAAGATCTCGCCGGCTGGGGCAGCTGAGTCGATCAGATATCTCGCCGGCTGGGGCAGCTGAGTCGATCAGATATCTCGCCGGCTGGGGCAGCTGAGTCGATCAGATATCTCGCCGGCTGGGGGAGCTGAGTCGATCAGATATCTCGCCGGCTGGGGCAGCTGAGTCGACCAGATATCTCGCTTCCTGGGGCAGCTGAGTCGATCAGATATCTCGCCGGCTGGGGCAGCTGAGTCGACCAGATATCTCGCCGGCTGGGGCAGCTGAGTCGACCAGATATCTCGCCGGCTGGGGCAGCTGAGTCGACCAGATATCTCGCCGGCTGGGGCAGCTATATCTAGAGCACGGAGTATTAGTCTGGTAGGATGGGTACAGCAAGTCCCGTGGAAGTTTTGTTATGAAAGCAAGACATAGTGTTTCTTGTATCCATCAGACATGCTACCTAAATAAAAAGTTTGGTTCCAAGTTGAAATATGGTGCAAATATAACTTTGAGCACTGTACAAAATGGTTGTGGAAAAGGTTGATAAAAGGTCAGAAGGTCATAATGGGAGAGTTGAATATTTAAAGTTTGGGGTTATTAACTTTATCCAAGTGTGTTTCTCTATTTCATGAAATATTTTATTAAAAGAAAACCCCAAAATATATTTTTAAATTAAAAAATAAAATAAAGAACGCTCCTCTCTCAAAATGGCAGCTAGCAGACGAATTTAAGCAGATGTAGGTTTTGTGCATTTTGTAAGTATATGATTGCTCAGTTTATCAAATCAATGTAAATCAAGTTATCAATATAAGTGAAAGAACAGTTATGTATGACACTAAAAAGAGATGTTTATTTCTGTTTGGTGAGACTGTCAGTGAAGGAGCAGTCCTTATTTCAAAATGTAGTTGGTCAATATCAGATTGTGATTTATCAATTTCTTATTAATATGTTTAAAATTTGTCTTCTAAAAGCAGAGTTCTTTGAAAATAGATAAGAATATAATGAAATGATGGATAGAACACTCTATTTTCTGCTTCACACTCTCTCAATTAAATCCTTTGAAATAATTTTCAAGTCATCGGATCGGATCATTCTGAAATGGTTATAATCTTTGAAAAAAAATATATACAAATAAACGTGGGTAGAATTTTTTTTTTATCAGCAGCCTAGGAGAAGGCACGGTGTCCATATTTAGCTTGTTTGACTTTAGGGTTAATAAGAAGGTGTTGACTCCCTGATCTCAGAGATCTAGATGGTGCATAAGCCTGAAGAAGATGTGAGAGGTAGCCTGGAGCCATGTTAGTCATGCATTGGTATGCGAGACAGAGGAGTCTGAAGGAGATTCTGTGTTTCACGGGCAGCCAGTGGAGGTCCTTTAGAGTTGGTGTTATGTGCTGCTTTCTGGGGATCTGGGAGGTAATGAGAGCAGCTAAATTCTGTATGCGTTGGAGCTGGTCAGTAACACAAGAGGGAGATCCTGCCAAAAGGCTGTTACAGTAGTCTATACGAGATATGACTAGGCTGAGGCAGAGAGTTTTGGAGGCATCTTTGGTAAGAACGGTCTGACTTTGCTGATATTGTGGAGATCGAAGTAGCAAGTTTAAGTAACATACTTGACGTGTTCTGTCGTACTTAGATCTTGATCGATGACAACACCCAGACAGACGCAGTAGTAATGTCAC